CCCGTAGACGCTGCTAATTCAATACCATTGGATGTAGAAAATTGAAGAAATATACATAATTTACGGATAAAACCTACCTTATTTTTACACGGTTGTCTTAAGGCGATAATGTTGTTTTACATACTGAATAGAACCACAATGACTATGAGACATAAGTATCTTCCCCATAATCGATGTGACCGCTGTTAACACATTTAGCAACCCACGCTTCATTTTGTATCCTGCTGTCGGGTGAGATTAGGCTTAAAATGTGCAGCATTGTTTTATGGTACAGCATAATGCTGCCATTTATGTTTTAGTGCGGCTAAAGCTCTCCAAATGTATGCCAATGTTAAAACAGAGAGGGGCAGAGGCAGAGCTGGGAATAAGAACCACTCGATAGACTAGAGGGAGAGGCACTGAAAATAATCTCTCTTCTTTGGTGTGTGTGTGTGTGTGTGTGTGTGTGTGTGTGTGTGTGTGTGTGTGTGTGTGTGTGTGTGTGTGTGTGTGTGTGTGTGTTCAGGCCCACCTGGAACAGCAGGCTGGTGTACTGGCCGGCCTGGGCCTGCAGCAGCGTCCCCTCTCGTGCTCTGGTCCTGAACACCAGGCCCAGGTACCAGGGCGTGGAGATGGTCACGTCGTTCTTCAGGTCCCACCAGAGGGCGCTGTTACCCAGGAAGCGATGGGGGTGTGACATCACTGAGGGGGAGGGGGAAGGAAAGATAGTGAATAAAAAAGTTAAATATTTTGACCAAGCAGAAATGAATTGTTTGCGTCTGAGCAATGATTGCATATATGCCCCGATAATGTTAAGAAGGATTTAAAGTCAAAACAACATGTTGTGTAATGCTAACTTTAATCAGCGGATATTACGTGTTTGTTATACTGACAGGCAAAAAATACGTCTTATAACCTTTGAACATTTAGTTTGGAGAAAATATATGGAATAAAAGGGAATCACCAATTGTACCTTGTTATTTCAGTCAGTCAACACCTTCAAAGGTTGATGCTAACGCATTCAGGAATGCATCAGGAATGCATCCATCCATTGCACTTACAGTATACACTCACTTTTCCCACATACTCTAAAGGCCTGCAGCTGTGAAAGCTCAGCACTAAATGCGGAAGAAGTACAAGAAGAGTGCTGAAAGAAAATGCTGAATTTAAGAATAAGGCATTACCTGAATGGATTAATGACATAGCACTTCTGAATCTAAACTACGGAAGTACCAAAGTGTGTAGCAGCTCATTAAAACAGGTTATTTTAACCGAAGTTCATTATTTACTAATGAATGTGCCATTAGTATAATTAGTTCTCACAAATAAAGGCCACTGAAGGTGAGAAAGAAACAGCCAATTATCTCAGTCACTGTCTCATTTGTTGTTATTATTATAACTAAGTGTCACAATAAAGGTTGGCTCTGGATGAAAATAAACTCAGGTATCATCTCACCGTGGCTGCAGTCCTTTCCTCCGTACCCGAGCGGACATTCGCAGGAGAAAGTCTCCCAGCTCACATGGCAGGTTCCTCCATTCTGACAGGGGTTGGACTTACAGAAGGGAAGCTTCGCGCTGCAACCTTTAACAAGCAGCAGAGACAGTTTCATCAACTATCAAGTTCACAGAAATCTGTCAGCCTAATGTACTGTATGTCTCACCACATGCATACAAAATGTGTCGTGATAATATATCATGGTGTTCACGCCTCAGATCAATTACAAAATGCAGTTACCAATGTGCATAGTTAGGGATGAACTTTAATTGTACGTTATGGGAGGAACTCAATATTAACATTTTCTCTGCAAAAGCTCAGAACTTCTCAATTTCTTTCCTTTTAATAGTAATTGACTAGAAATATCACAAAGATACAGTAGGGTGTCAAACCTTATGTTTACAATCTTTCATTAATTGTTTATATTTAGTTTAATTCCAACGACACAATCACTTTACTGTGTTAACTAGCAGCCTGGGGAAATACTTAAACTAACTAGAGCTAGAGTATGTGTATGAGTCAGAGGTGGGACCAAGTCACAAGTAAGTCTCAAGTCTTTGCGCTCAAGTCCGAGTCAAGTCTCAAGTCAGGATGGGCAAGTTCAAGTCAAGTCCAAGTCCTAAACTTTGAAAAACCGAGTCTTAAACAAGTCATTATGTGCTTTTCAACAAATGTAATGACATCCATCGACAGAATAATACTTAATAATCCAACTGCTCTTTCTTTAGTAGTCACATTAATCATTTAATAATCCATTTTCTCTCTGCTGGTAAAGTAACTATTTTAAGAGGGATCAGTAAGGTAAGGCTACCGTGACGGTTTGATTCAGAAGGAGTTTAATTGATAAGATCCCTGATGTTGAGGTAACCAGAATGTTTATTTCCACTGTGTACAACATGTTATAAGGGACCCACAATCTATCTTTATGCAAGGGAAAATGTGCAGCGAGGCGGTCTCTATGGGGAAAAGAACACCTGAATAGATCCCTCTGCAGGTGGTACTTTAAGTTTATTTTGATGCTAATACTTTTCTACTTTTACTTGAGTAACATTTTGAATGCAGGACTTTTTATTGTAACCGAGTATTCCTATGCTCTGGTACTTTTACTTAAGTACAAGATCTGAACTTCTCCCACCTCTGACAATAAATCCTGAGTGGTTACCAAAAAGAAACCCCTGCTCTGAAGGTTATTTTCATTTTACAAATCCTGCACTCAGCTTTGCTTTCTCCAATATCGTTGAAATGCAGATTATTTTTTCGGTTTTCGCTCATGTCTTGACTTTTTCCGACGCGCTAGCATTTCAATCCGGCTCCCCGTCTCCCTGTGGCTCTGTGTAGCTGGCCTGTACCACTACACCTGCTGTCTTTGGCGCGTCTGCCCCCCACCCTTCTTTCACATAATGGTATGAATCTAGCGTGTCCTCGCATATGATTGGCCGCATGGTGGACCAGCAAAAGTAGGAGCGGCTGAAGATTAGGCTCTCCCCGACAGGAGTCTGCTCTTCTACCGGCAGCTCGCGATCATTGTGTTGGAGACCTCTGAATTAAATGATCAAGTCACCTCAAGTCAGAAGGCTCAAGTCCAAGTCAAGTCCCGAGTCATTGGTGTTCAAATCCAAGTCGAGTCGCAAGTGTATTGTTATTTTGTCAAGTCGAGTCCAAAGTCATCAAATTGGTGACTCGAGTCTTACTTGAGTCCAAGTCATGTGACTGGAGACCACACCTCTGGTATGAGTTTTGGGATTTTTCAAAATAAGGGTAGGATTTTGGACATAAATGTTTCATTACTGATGTTTTTTTAGGGGGAGGGGTGTATTCCTTCGCAGTGCTGACCTGGGATCGTTCCATTGTTAGCGATGAACCCAGCCAAGTCCAGCGGCTTGCTGTCAATGTGCAGCTCCTTCATGCAGCCAATAAACTCCCTGGATCCAAACGGGAAGTTGTCAGGTACGTTGGGAACTCCGCCCAGAAACAAAGGGCCAGTCAGATCCAGAGACCTGAGAGAGGAGGGGATAAAGAGGAAGAGGATTCAATAAGGTGGAGCCGAAAGAGGAATAAGAAGGAAAGGATTATCCCTCAAGGGTGGAGGAGGGAGGAGAGGGATGAAGGAAGAGAGGGTAGGAAAAGGAAAACACATGAAAAGAGGGTATGAAAGGGATTGAACAAACCCGCAGATTAAGTATGTCATCAGAGGTATATTTCAAAAGGAACAGGAATCGCTTGATGTTGAGAATAAATGAGATGACAATGATGTTGTTGAGGGTAATAGTGAAAACAACAGGGGACAAGAGAATGAGATGAGAGGCAGTAAACAAACAGGAGATTAAACATTGAGATATATCAGGAAAAATAAGAAAAGGTGGATGACAAGGCAGAGGGGAATAGGGAGACAGCAAAGGAGGAAGTCACAGCGTAAAGAGGAGACGAAAAGCAGCCACGACAGGGAGACTGAACGGGAAGCGGATGAACAAACAAGAGATTAAGTGTGAGTTACAGCAAATATCAAGAGAGAGCAAGCGTAAAGGCGGATGACAAGACCGATGGAAGACGGTGGAGGGGAATGTGAGGAGGAAGAGGCAGGAAATAACAGCTATGGGATTGCTTTAGCGGAAAAAAGAAGACAGTTGTGTTGTCGTATTTTTCTTTGCATTATCTTCCCTCCCCTCCAATGTGAGGCTTTCCTTTTGAGCTCAGTTTTGTCAGCACTACATGCAGAGCCAATAAATGCCAGTGGATTATGAATTGAAGGAACCCAGAGAGACAAAAGGCGCCTGAGTCGAGCAAACTAGATATTAAGTGCGAGTTACAGCAAATATGAACAGAGTGCCATTAAAAGAAGACGTTGAGACAGTGATGGGAGGGCAAGCTGTTAACGGTGAAATACAGATGAAACGGAGGAGGAGTGTTGGGGAGTCAGGCTTTGGCCTTCCTCTCTGATCTGTCTTCTCTTGTCTCAGCCTCACTTAGCGCTGACAGAACAAAGCCAACGTGATTACAGCTCACAGAGGAGAGGCCACACATCTACGCTACGACAGGCTGCTGAACGGGTGGATATGTGTTGCGCACTTGTTTGTGTCGACATTTCGTTTGGTAGAAACAACCTATAAGTTGACTAAAGAACTTTGACAAGGTCAGATTTCAAATGTTATTGTTTTTGTCCTACATACATGTAAGAGAATGATTGGGAGACGGAGAGAGAGAGGCTGAGAGTGATGAAAAGGACTGAACATTAATAGTAGGCAGCAAACCATCAGAGAGAGACAGACAAACATGAAGGGGTAGAATAAGTCAAAGTCAGGTTTATTAAAAGCCTCAGGTCCCCATAGATGATCCTACAGTCATCTCATCACCCTGATCTGTCCAATAGCAAAAGTCTCTGTCAAGGTTTGAGCAAGAGTTTAACAGATTAGAGAATGCTCAAATGGCATTAAATGGTGTTCATTTTAAACTGTGATCCTCTCACAAGGCTTAGACAATACAATAAGGAAATGTTATATTCTATCTCTGGAAGCGGATCCTTTCTAGCTATTGTAAGGACAATGGCCCATCAAGTGAACAAAGACACATTTGATCATATCATTCTCTTTGTTCCATTAATTAATTTCACAATAGGAAGTAACTAACATTATACGTGTCATCTTAAGGAACTAGGTACAACAAAAAGCAATCAAAATGGATAATTGCATGAAGAGCTAAATGTGAGATGAACATAAGGAGTAGGTCTTGAATCAAATTGTGAAGACTCAAAGTCAATGTGTTAATGGCTACAAAGATGCGGGCACATCCTTAATTGTTTGAAAATTGAAAATCTGTAATACAAAAAAAATGGTATGCAATGCAAGTTCCAATATTGTATTGTGATTGGGTAAGAAACATACTTAAATTCACTAAATGCTACAGTATAATAAAGATTTTCTCAACAACTTTTGTTCTGGATGACTTGTAGAAAGTGGTGTTGTGTAATTATGGTTTCTTGGTTAAACAGACCAGACTGGGTTACATCTCATGACAATTACTGTATGAACATGCCCACTGCCCCCAAAGAAGATCTGAGGAGATTTAGTTGAGCTGCAGAATTGATTGATCATTAATTATTTTACTCTCAGCAGGGGTGTGATGAGAGTTTAGAAGAGGTGAGATGCAAAGACTGGCACAGTAAAATATCTGTTTCGATATGAACAGTATTTTTCTCATCCTACATCCTTAAAAGCTCCATATACAGCCTGAACCTAAATCCCTTCAAAGCCAATACTTCCTTATAAAGTAATACTACCATTTATCCCTCAACATGACTTAATACCTGTAATCCAGCAACCTGTGATGTTCACACACTGAGCAGCTTCATTGGATTTCTACTTAGTGAAAACTGCCTTTGAATATTTGTTAAGCCTCCGATGAGTCACAGATGATGTTTAATGAAAGTTGTCTTTGCAAAGAAGCTGACACACATCGTTTCAAAAATCAAAAGACCAACAGCTCAGGGTTATTGACTATTCAGTGTTTCAGGCGCTGGTAGAGAGTTTTATGGAGGAATTCAGCTGAATATTTGTGTTCACTAGGCGTTTGGAGTAATCAATACCTCATAAATGGCAGAGATGAGACTTTGGAGTTAATTCCATGATGAAGTCAACATGAAACTGTATAATGATAGCAATGACACGTGACATAGTGTTATATTACATGGCACGTGTCAATGTATTACATTCTAACTCTGCCTTAGGTCATATCCTCCAATTGGTAAGTCATGTTAGAGTTATTGTTCAGTAAGTATTCATGCATGTGATATTTTACACAATAATGTGACTTTCATATTCAATCTTAATTTGCCAACAACTACATTAAACAGGCAGACAGCTAAATGCATTTTACAAATAAAATCACGAGTAGTCTGGTAGTATTACTAGCTTTATATCAATGGAAGGTAAACGGGTCATATGGGCAATGCACCAATTTTTGAAAAGCGGTCTAATCTATATGTTCATATTCAGCTGATCCTGTAGTTTATTTAACTTTTAGATGCACGAGTGACTGGACCCTACACTCTTCCATAAGTGGGTCAAAAAGGACCCGTATTAGAATAATATGTATTTTTATGTCATTTTGATCATTTTGGTTAAGAAAAATCACTTGTATAATATTTAGTATTATATTTTGGGATTCCAAATGCATGCGGGTCATTTTTGACCCACTTATGGAAGCTTGGGGTAGAAATACAAAAACTACAATTTCTTAAAATGAATAAAATGTAAATTTCAAATTTAAGTGGCATGATATCCAAAACATGTTTTTTGAGGAATAGCTGAAATACGAAATGATAAAAAAATGCAATTACATAGATACTTCAAGAAAACCACCTCACCGGGTCATAAAAGACCCACTTATGCATCTAAGGGTTAAGAAGTTGTTACTGCATTGGTTTGTTAGACCCCACAGTGTGTTTATGCTGCAGGTCATATTTGATGATTTTTCCAAGATACTGTATGTGGGGTACAGTGCTATGACTGCAGATGCATTTGTATAATGGACCAGATGAATCCTTTTAGTTATTGTTGGGGTCATTTTTCAGATGTGTTTAGCTTTCAAGCCACCACATTTTAAGACAAAAGAGGAAGAAATACATAAGGAAGATGGTGGGCTGAAAAAAAGATGAACTCACTTCTTGTTGCTGGTCTGTTTGCCCTGTGCGGCGCAGCTGTAATTTCCGAGCTGTGTACCGAAGCGAAGCGACAATGCGGTGTCACAGTCGTCCACGCTCACCACGGCAATCTTCTCATCTGACGGACCCTGGGCCTCGCCGCTCATACTGCGCTTGGGCTGAACACAACAGATGATTGAAAACAGAGTACCGGGGAGCAAAAGACAAGAAACACCAGACAACACGCAAGAAATGAAACAGCATTTGCTAAATCTAGAGGTTTATATCACTGCAGTCAAACACTACACAATAACATCAGATTAGATTCAACATCTACGCTGCTACTGCACACCAGGTTAGAAAGAAAAGGGGAACATTTGAGTTAGTAACACACACTGAGGATGGGTCGGAAAATAATGGAGTAAAATAAGATGGACAACACATTCACTCTTTACTTACTGTGCGCTGGTGAAATAAAGAAATACAGAAGGAGGAACAGAAAGAAAGAGAAAGAGATGTGTATGTGCACCCTGTCACACACTCATACTCACATAGCGTGTAGCTGGCTGAGGAAATGAAAGAATATGAAGAAAATTAAAGGAGATGTGTGGCGAATATGCATGAGTGGAATGGTTTCAAGCAAACGCCCAAATGAAGGTATGCACACACTAACACCTCATCTGGATTCAAAGTGCAGTGCAAATAATCACAAGTAAAACATCAAAGAATAGCTGACAACAGAAACAGAAAATGTTAAATGGTGTATGACACACAGATGTAGACGCACCTTGTTGTAGTAGTGGATGTGCACAGTGTGCCAGTTGCCATCGCTCACACCGCCGGGCAGGAAGGGACTCACCTGGGTGGAGGATTCACCTGCAGGAGGACCCAGGGAGTATGTGTCAAAACTTAACTAGGTCATAACGATCATTTAAAAAGGTACATTACAAATAGATTTGTTTTAATCTAAATGGACTTATTAGTGCTGTGTTTGCTTTTTATTTGGTTTCATACAAATACATTAAGCCCTATAAATGATTTTATTTGGAAAATAATTGTTCAAACCTTTTATACCCTTCTATTTACCGCTTCAATTGGACAGGTAACAAAACATTTTTGCAAAACTTCTGTAGTTTTAAGTTTTGTTAAGTTGTTGTTGGCAATGGTTAGCAGGCTGAAGCAGCAGGAGAAATATGATGACTTAACTATATGACTGCTATTTAGGCTCTTTACTCGTTACATTATTGTGGTTTGCCATTCCTGCAGCGTGGACTCAACCAAAAAGAACACAAATCACACTGAAAGAGTGGGAATCTCTCAAAAAACCACATCTGACTTATCTCACCGAAAATATTGAGTAAACCCTCCCACCCTCCACATGTTTAGATCAAATCTGTGTCCTTACCCTACTCCTAAAACATAAAGAAATTAGACATAAACTTTCAAAGAAAAACCACACATGTCTCTTTCTCTGTGGGAATATTATAAATAGAGAAATACTAGAGCCCCACAGAAACACCATCACACATATGGTTATACTGTTTAGTACCTGTGGAGTATTTGAGTACCACTTGTCCCTCTTGGATCTCCAAGGCGATGAAGTCGTGCTTCTCATTGAAGCGTCCGTTATAGAAAAGAAGACCACTGTTCTCCAGGGTGGCAAAACTAAAAAAAGATCACAGACATAAATCCTTATAAAGATAGTGCATGTACTGTAATAGGAGTATTTATATTATGATCGTCCAAAAAACACAGTCAAAATAAATCAAGTATACTGTACGACCCAGTCACATTTTATTTCAACCAGCAATAAAAACAACTCCTGTAACGCTCATCAAAGGTTGAGTATAGACTAGGCAGGCTGCAGGCCTCCTCTCCCTCCAGCTGCTCAGGAGAGTCATGCTTTAGACTTTTTTATAGCAAGGCCGAGGGGACATGGGGAGTCCAAGGCTGCCATGTTAACACACCCTGATCAAAAGAAGATGTTTGCTTTTTTGATACTACAGCACAGATGACACATCTTCCCTCCTGGCAACACGATGCAGAGAGACTCACACTGTAAAAGATGCCTTCATCTAGTCGCAACATGTTTCCAAAATACCCACTGCAAAGAAATATTCATCCAGTCTTAAAATGTTTTGAAAATAAATGTCTTCCTTTATGAACTTATGGCATAAACTGAAGTCCTTTGGGAAAAATCTTTCCTCTCCCTACTTTATTGTTAGTATCTCTATTTTCCATCCTTGGCTTTAACATCTACCAGAGTTCAATGTGAGAGTAACAATATCTGCATTACTGCAACACAGCAGTGTGGAGAAGAGCACTTCATCAATATTTCTATCACACTTTTATATTGCCTGATATCTGAGAATGTTGTCATTGTCTAAAATAAACCCTGGGTTATTGAATAGCTAACATGTGTCCTGTTTACATGCTCCGCTGTAGCTCCAACAGCATTGTGGCATCCTATCTACTGTACGAAGATGTCATCTCTTCGAGCCATTAGAAAAAGATGGGAAAAGAAGTGAGCTTTGCAGAGTAGATGGAGACTGTGCATGGATTCAGTAAAGCAATAACGTTCATTAAGGCTCATCAGCCATGCATTCAAATGTGTATTTCTTAAATCCTCTCAGCTGAGCAGCTACTGACAACTTGAAACATACAGAAGTTGCAGCACCCTCCTACACACGATTTGCATACATTAGGACATATCGAAAACGCTCGATAAAATCTAAGGCAGAGTTACCGCTACTGAACGTCTCAAGCTGCTTTTGGGTGAAAGATGAAAAAAGGATATTTCTTTACAGTGGAGAAATAAACTGCTGGGGGAGAAAGTGTGTGACATGAATAATGAGTGAGTCCTGTTTGGCCCTAATGTGGAATCCAGGCCAAGGATTTTAGCCAGCAGCAGACAGGAGACTAAATTAAACACTAACGTGAGGGGAACAAGACTCCCAGTCAGTGCATCTACTGTACAGTTTAGCCTGGACAAAATAATATAAACTATACCCGAAAAAATTGGATTAAGATCAAGGGCTTAATTGTCTGTCTCATGAAAGCCTCACCCACCAAACTTGAAATGCTCAGCCCTCAGCCCTCAGCCAATCACCGCTGATTCTGTCAATTCTTTAAGAAGGTAGATGAAGACATACCTGTTTAGAAGGACATTTGGATACATGTCACTGTAAATTGTATAAAATGTAGTATTTTTCACTTCGTGTTGTGTGATCAGGTAGTTATGTTATCCTCTATGAATTTCTTCCTATCATTTGAACAGTGCCCTTGTAAAGCACTTTGTCTGTGGAAAAAGCTTTATGAATCCATCTCACTTACTAGAACAACACACTGAAACTGCTACAGGGCAGGGCTGAAGTAGAACACAACACCCTTTTAAAAAGAAACCCTGATGGTAGTTGTAGCTGCTCACTTTTTCCCACAGTTTGGGAGTTTTAACAAAGCAGCCACCATTACTTCAAGGGGAGAAACGCCTCTTAAATTCTCACAAAGTAAGCTTCTCTTCAACAACGAGCCAGTCACATCGTACTTTAATCCTTGACTTACAATCACTGCCAGACTGGTGGTCACAAATCAATGAAACAGATCCTATGTCATGGCTTCACGCACCAGCAAGGCACACAAACTAATTTGGCCAGAATACTATGAACAAAAGTCTCATAGCAACCAATCCATGGTGGCCACACATGCCTAGCAACAACCACATGGGCAACGTCACCTTAGCAACTATCATAAGATGACATCACCCATGGCAACCATCCCATAAGTCCACTCTTAAGGAACACTTCAGATATCCCTTGGACCCCCAATCGCATGTCAAGAGGTGAATGTGCAGCAGTGGGAAAGACAAGGACTTGGCCGTCAGGAAGGAGGCGATCACTGACTTCTGCAGAGACATATTGTTTGATGTGCAGTCAAAGAGAGCAAGCTGGGGCTAGGTAATGAACTGGCTAAGCTTAAAGACATGCAGGTAGAACTGATCTCACTCACGTCTCTACAGGTTACACTTAGGTTCATATTCTTGTGATAAAACTTCAGCTGAAATGTTAATAGCTTTTAAAAAAAAAGGCTAACTACGAGCCTGGTTTCCAGCAACACAATTGAAAAAATGTGCTGTAACTCAAATTTGTTTTGTTGTCATGTTTTTTGTAAGTGCGAGATAACTTTCTTGAGAGTTTTGACCCCTTCACAGAGATAGCATCGGGTCACAAGATGCACAGCATTTGACTTTGGAGCCTTTGCTGGAACAGAGAGGTCTGAAACAGGAGCATGCAGGGGTGATACGATGTAAGATAAGAAGAGAGAGTGGAAAGTGAGAGAGCAGAGGAGATGTTACTGAAAGCAGTACATTGACGGATGAAAGGGGAGAGAGAGCAGAAACCGCACGTCTACTGGAGAGGAGAGGGAAACCATGAATAATAGGATCGATCTCTGAGATGAAATAAATACATTAAAGCAAAGAGGGGAGAGAGACTCCGAAAGCGGAAGAGAAATGAGAATCAAAAGGAGTGGTTATGGATCTCTATCTGAGTGCAACTGCATGACGAGAGATGGAGGCTGATGGAAAAGAAGGAAGGTAGCAGAATCCAAACAAAAATGTCAAAAATAGACAAGACTGAGAAAAGATCAAACGTCTAATCTACTCACGTTAAGGAGATGGACAGGTGGAATCTCTGTCTGAGGCCCCGGAACATGGCGAAGGACTTGGGTGGGAAGGAGCGGGCGGTGACGGTGCAGTATGGACGCTCGTAGCCTCCGGCAGGACACTCGCAGCGGAAACCTCCGCCCGAAAGCTCCCGACATGTCCCTCCATTACGACACAAACCCGGCACACACCTGCCCTGCCGCCGGTCAAACTCACAACGGTCGCCTGGGGGTAAAAGATAAAGCATTCTTATTATAAATTCATGACTTATACCTCCGTTCAACCTCCCTGGGAATTGCAATAAGACTATCACAAAATGAAAGTCAGTGGGAGAAGTCTTCAAAGAATTAACAAATTATATTGATCTAAATGATTTTATTTTATTCAAGAATCTTTTAATGTATCAAAATAAAATGATAACTTGTTTTTGTTTAAGGGCAGATTGTCTCTTCAGTATCTTTTTGCCATTTTTGTGCTTTTTTTCAACTGAGACTGCAGGCAATTCATTATCATAAGCTCTGACCCCGCTGCACTCACTGGCATGTCCTTCACAACATGCTGTGTAACCAATCAAACCAGGGCAAACAGAGCTTTACTTCAAATGTAAGTTCAGACCCTAAGGCGTACGTGCTACATTTGAATCATGGTTGACCTAAAATATTGTGAGGACTATTATTAATATCATTAGGATGGAAGAATGTAAGGAAGGAATAACTTGAACTTAGTAAACATCCACACGTCCTGTTGGACCAACAGAGTACGATCTGAGTCAGATAACTGCAAGCTGTTACTGTACTGTAAGTTAAGGTGGCTTTGAGATAGTTAGTTCCTTTAGCTGGATACGGTTGAATTCAATTGCTGCTAAATGAGTATAACAACAGAGTTACCCCCTGAAAGACCCTGAAGGCAGGGCATCCTTATCTACACACAAACAGTAGATACGTTGATTTTGAAGCTATTTTAAAATGGTCATACATTCGGAAATGCAATCACCGTTATTGCTATTGACAGGACCTTGAATACGCATTAAAGCCTTCTGTAGGTTTTGAAGAAAGATACTTAACTTGAGGGTCTTGAAATTTCCCCAATCTATGAAGCTGTGGTTGGTTTTCCATGTGAACTGCTTAAGAGATCGCTGCTGGTTGTGTTTCAGGCAGTGAGCTGCACTCAGCAGACGCTTCAAATGTAAATGACTTGATTAAACTGTGGAAACAGCAGGGAGCTGATTCCTGAGGAGCAGGAGTCAGAGCAACTGTTGTAGACGATTAACCTTACAATACTTTAAGTGAACAAAGAATAGAAGTTATACCAAAAACAGCTGGACAAATACTCAGTGTACTGTATTTTAAAGTGTATGTCTGCAGAAGAAAGGAGGCAAAAAGTATTTTCCTGCAATGTGCAAATCTGTTTCTTCAGTGTGTGAAAAAAACAACACAAACAAATCTGCGGACAAGAATAAACACTGATTTGGCTGCCAGTCAAACAAGCGCCAGTCTGAAGTATCTCGAGAGGGAAAAAACACCCACACAACCCACACAAACACACGGATACACACATACACACAATCACCCACATAAAAAGGTGTGTAGGAGTATTTGTTTTTCACCTTTCCTTGAGCATATTTGGACACACACATTGTCTGACATTAAGCAGCTGCACAGAAACACACACACCCAGTGCACTCCATATAAACACAGCAGACATGGTTTATAACTAGCCTTCAGACACATGCCTCCTCAAGGATTCATTTAACAACCTGCCTACAGCACGCACGCACGCACACACACAAAACACAACCACACAAAACACAACCACATACAGCAAAATATCAGGAAAACAAATCAAAATGCATTCTCATTAATAAAATATGCAATACAGATTTATTTTGGTTTTCAAACAAAGATGATCACACCTTCAACCTCTCTAATATTACGCTTGTTTTCAATTTATTTCTGTTTCTCACACACACACGCACAAACACACACATCATTTCCCCCTGCCCTCAAGGCTGTCGGGTTTTATCATGTAGCTGTCTCTGTTGGCACTGTTTGTGCTGCTTTTAAATGCCAAAATGCCCCCTGGCAGGGTCCTCACAGCCTCACACAAAAACACAGACACACACACACACACACACACACACACACACACACACACACACACGTGACCACACACACAAATGAACAAGTCATAGACACACAGACACACTGATGCTGACTTTGTGTGACACATACAACACAGACTGAACCCCACAGTGCGATTGTTGGAGAGAATCAAAAGGTTTAACATGCTTGAATTACATCAGTCTATCCTCCTCTATGTCAGGGATAAAAACTGCCAAAATTGAACATGCTCAGCTTTGAAGATAGCGAGCAAAGTAGGGTATTATTTTACTCAGGATTCTGCTCGGCATTTTGGACAAAATGTAGAGAATATCAGAATATAAGATTGGTTGGCCCTGATAATGGCACACAACAACAGAACAATATTCAACTATGCAGCATTGGTTAGGATTTTTCCCCCATATTTGATCTTTCTACACTAATTCTCTTTTTTCTCCTTCTCAATGCTCCACCCAGTGTTTCCCACACATTGACTTGACTTGGGTGTAATGCCCAGGTACTGTATGTTAACCTCCGCCCAATTGGGTAGTGCTTGCAAAACATTTTTATATTTTTTTAATCAACCCTGATAAACGACACTCTCCAAAATGAATTAACTGTTGGCGGCGGGACGCTGTCTCGCTCCCTCAGCTGTCTGGGACGGACTCACTGGGGGAAACGGGTGCCATGCAATCCGCTCAGCTGGGAATTGATCCCAGTTTGAGCGACACACTGCTGCATTGGCTGCGAGGCATGGAGGGTGTTCACACTGTAACACACTGGGTGCTGTGCCACCAACTGTCAGGCCACACTACGCACACACCAGGTTAAATCAGAGTGTGACGCAGAGTAGCTCCGTCTCTACTTCTCCATGCATCACTTGCTCACTTTATAGTCATCTGTCCATCCTACGGTACATCACTTCGCCACGCCACGTCTCTCCTCATGCCACCGGGCAGCCGATATCTGCCAGATACTGCCTGACAAACATACTCCCTCACACCAATAAACCACCCTGAGGACACACACACACACACACACACACACACACACACACACACACACACACACACACACACACACACACACACACACACACACACACACACACACACACACACACACACACACACACACACACACACACACACACACACACACACACACACACACACACACACACACACACACACACGACTACACACACACACACGACTACACACACACGTACACTACTACTACTACGTACTACTATACTATACACGTAACGTACGTAACGTAACTA